CATTCTTTGTCATTTAAATTAGATAGTCTTTAATAAGAGTTTAGCTGTGAAGTCATACACCTATCCCTGGGGAGAAGGGATGGTATGGTGACAAAGGATGTCATGCTACAGGCCCCTGTGTAGACCTACAGAAGTCACATAACCCCCAGAGATTTCAGTTTCTCTTGCTAAAGACTGGGAATATCTCTGCAGAGATGTTGGTTGCGACTGAGAGGTATCTTAGATGGCAAATGCAGTTAGCACTTTCACAGTATTTCAGAAAAACGTATGTTGCTGTTAAAAATGTATTGTCGATACTGAGAAGCCATGCAGTCTGTGATGTTTAAAGTATGTGCTATTTTCCAGCTATTGACAGAAAAAAAAAAAAGTAAATTTGGTTGGTAAATTGGTGAATATTAAAAATATGGACACAACGACAACTTGAAAAATGAAAATTAAAAAAAATGATGGCATACAGAAATAAACAGACATTATACAACATAGAAAACACTAGTAGTCACTTCTAGCCAAGAGAAAAATGATTCCTTTTTAGAAACAAAACCAAGAAAGAGCATGGAAAGAAAGAAGGTATCTGAAAACATGACAGGCTGAAGAAGGGCAGAAGCTGCAAGTGGTAACGAAGTACCTCTGTGACCACTGAGCGCAGCAGCTCTGCAACCCCAACCCCTTCAGAGGCAGCACAATGAACACTCTGTTCTGCGGTAGGTTTTGCAGGCATCTACCCATGCAAAGCAAACAAGGCTCCTCGCACCCTCCCTTTTATTTTCAGAATCGTTATGCCTTAGATCTGCATGTTCTCTATTTACTACCTTTTTAACACCTTCAGACAAGAGTGCATGGAATATCACCTAGTGTTATGGATTGGAAGGGGTTGGGTTTTTTTGCCCTCCCTCCCCTGCCAATTTATCTTTAGATATGAGAAGCAGTAAGTGCTGAGTGAAATGGTTGTAATAGTCTCAGATCTGTCCCTAGTGGGCCTGAGTGTACAGTTAAGGGGAAAAAAAGGCCACATACACTTCAAAGTTCACGCTCATTATTTCAGGACTGAGCATATAGTTGTGATCACTGGAGAGAATGGTGTCTCGAGTTAAATTTGCTGTCAAGACTGTATAAGGATGTCTTTGTGAAGAGACCCCAGTACTTTGTACATGGTTGCTTTTAAAAACAAAATACTCCTGACTACCTTGTAGCGCTTCTGGAACTCAAAAATATGCATGTGGACAGGCAGAATCATTTTATACCATATATACACAGTATATAATCATATATATTGTGATTCAAGCGTGTTGACGAATAGCCCTTGGGGATATGAAAATGAAAAGTACTAAAAAAAATGTGATGGCTGTTTAACAGTTTGTATGTGCTTTGCTTCCATGGTTTCCACACACCTTCCTGGACCAGTGGCCTCGGTCAGATACGCTGGCGCAGACAAAGCTTTCTAAGCCATTTGCCTGCAGTGGAACATCTAATAAAGCCAGTGTTCTTCTCCTGACACCTATAGTGTTGTTGCAACTCTCGGCAACAGTGACCAAGATAACAAAACAAAGAAAACCTGAACCAGCATTAAATGAAAACAGCTGTAACTGCAGTACAAATATTTATATTTTCTCTCCATTGCAGTTAATGAAAAATATGAATTACATGAGTGGGTGCAATCTTAAATTATTCCCCAGATCATGAGAACTCAGTATGAAGCATCATTTACCTGTCTTGTGCATTCTTTCCAAACCTAGGTAATCACATACAGTTTTAAGCATCTCAACATTCAGGTGCAAGTGCCTGAATGGCATAGAAAACTCTGATTTTAATGAGTAAAGATGGGTTGTAACTTTTAAAGTATTTAATCTAGGAAAGTGATGTCGTATGAGATTGATCACAGTGCAGTCTGAGCCAGAGCCAGGCCTGTGTGGCTGATCTCAAGGTCAGTTTAGCCTCTGTGTCTACAGTATTTGCATGAAACTGAAGTACTGCGTGCAGTCTCTAGAAGAATATGGACATGGATTTTGTTTCAATTTTAATCAATTTTGTGGCTGAGTAGAAGGGAGACTGTCAAACTATCCATATTTGTGAAGGAAAAAAAAAGAAAACCCAATATACTACACAATAATGAGCTAATGATTTAATTAAAAGCAGATTCTGGGTAGTCTTTGGCTATCAGACAGTACTAGCATTCAATAAATTACCTCTCTGTCCAAGTTTCCTGCATGGCCCTGGAAAACATCAGCCTCTGGACATCTATTACTCTGCTTGTAAAATGGGAATGACATGTTTTCCTATCTCACGTTTCTAAAAGACCTTAGGATCACAGGCACTATTAAAATGCAAATGAAAATAAATTAAGTAAAATGCATTGGAAATACAAAGGTGGTGTAGTAGGAATGCTCTGTGGTGGAACAGACATTTCTGTTTCAAATACAGCTACTGATTGTGTTGTTATAAGTGGGCTATTGGTAACTTTTTGGTCTAACAAGTTTATACGACACCTATATTTTGTTTTGATACATTTTTCAAGCAGTCTGGTATTTCATTTAGGAAAGACTAGAACAATACACTGAAAAATGCCAACTGTTACAAACTGTGTAACTATTTTCCATGCAAAAAAAAAAAGTAGAACTTTGATCTTTTCTTCTTGATCTAATCTAAAATTCTGAGAAAGCAATACATCTTTTTATTTTCCATATCTGAGTTCAAAAACAGCACTTGTGTTTTCTCAGATGAGCTTGACTGTAGGTAGCGAGCTCCTCTGAATTTTTTTTTTCCATGTAGGAGCAAAATAGACTTGTGCAAATTCTCCATGTAAAACAACTCTTGCTAATACTAATACTTGCAAAGTTAAAATCAGTGCCTTCCCTGTGGCTTCGATCAGCCATTCTTGGGAACTTTCTATAGGTCCTAACCTCAACTCTACGTTTTACCAGAAAGGAAGGTAAGATCTGTAATGGCATACTACAAAACCAGACAGCCTGAGTGAACAGGTAGTTAATTTACTCAGGAGTGATGAATCTCTGAGGCTGCATAAGGGAAATTGGTGTGCTCTGGTTTGGATTTTTGTTAGATGCGTGGTAAGAGCCCATGGCCTTCAAGAAGGAGAAATGGCATTTTCCCACCCTACAGTAGTCCGGGCTCCTCTGTACTTTGTAGATGCTGTTTTTATGCCTAAATGATTACTAGTCTAAAACTTGTTTTGCTGCACAAAATAGGTCAGAAGATGACAAATCCTTCTAAAAACAGCTATAGCTCCACCTACTTTCCTTGGACAAATACGTGCTCTGCAGACCTGGCTATCACCACGGGGAGGGAGGAGGGCAGGGAGCAGGCTGGGACTGCGGGCAAGGAGGAGGAAATTGCCAGTTGCCCACCTGCAGGCTGGGGTGTTGTGGGTTTGGCTGCACCGCCTCCCTGACCTCCCATGGCACAGCTGGATCAAGTCCTAAGAGCCACGTGAGCTATTTTTGTCATTAATCAAAATAAGAGTGTTCTCCCTGCAAGGCTCCAGTGGGAAATTTAGTAGTTAGATAATAGCATTATCAGTTTGTGATTCTTCTCTTTTCCTCACTTGGTCATTTTTGAGTTTGAAGTTGCTTTTTCAAAAGGTGATTACAGTGACCCAAATAACAGGATACAACCAAATGGCTAATGTCCTGTGCCTTCCTTTTGCTTCATTTCAGGATGAAGCATTTACCAAGTGCAGCACCTGAAAGGGGCATGAATATCAGCATTCTTGACCCCAAGCTGCAATTCTGACTTATTTTACCTGTCGTATTCGCTAGCAAACATGACATCTCATTGGAAAATTGAACATGAGCCTTTTTTTATCTTGCATTTTGCTTTTGCAGCTAAAACAACAAAACCCCCACCAAACCAGAACCAAAAAGCCGGTCATGTGGCGAGAACAAAATAGAAGGGAACAATGCCAAAGCTTAACAAGGATTTTTAAAACAGTCACTTCAGTGTTTTGCTAAATTGCTGTGTCACTTGTGGCATTTGTAATAACTTTTGCATCCTCAAATGCTTGGAATAGACCTCCATTAAAATATGTCACCAATTAAAGAAATATATGCAAACTAGGAACAATGCAGTCAGTCTAGGGAGAGAAAACTAAGAGCATTTTAATGGAAAATATGTAAATAGCTGAACTTTTCTAAAAGCAGTTCATTCTCAGCATGTACGCAGAGGGAAAGCTGATGCTGGCAAGTGGCAGCACGGTTCCATAAAATGCAGACTCAGTCATGTGTTGTGCTGTGCTCAGTGCTCCCACCAAGCATCGGGGAGTCTGAGGTATATGGTGAATGCAGAACAGAATCACAAATAAGTATTTTTATTTTCATACCGAGCTGTCTTCCTAAGCTGGAAAAGCGAGTCCTAACGAGAAACATGCTGTGTGAAATTTGGGACTGATATTTTTTTTTTAGTGCAAAAGAGGAATCCCTGCAGCTGTAGCGAAGTCTCATACATCCAGGTTTCCCTCCTGTTTTTACAGAGATCTGGCGTCAATATGACTTCATTGCTGCGACTTCTCCTTCCTGCAATTGTTTTTCCATGGATTCCTGTTTGGGGCAGGGCAGAAGCCCAGCCAGCCTTCTGCTTTTCCCGCTGTACAATTACCCTAGCAGGGCAGTGGCCCCGCTGACTTCCAGGTTGCCCCACCTCCAGCTTGTAAGGGAGGGTTGAAGGAGGTGGGCACGCAGGTAGGGTGCCTGCCCAGGCTGGCATCAGGCATATGGGCACGGCCTCCCAGCATCCACCAGCCCTCTGGGTGCAGCCACTTCCCCCGTGGAAAATCCCAGCTCCTTCCAGGCTCCACTGGAGAAAGCCCCAGGCGCTGCCCACCCTAGCTATCCTCCCACATCCCAGGAAGTTCTGCTGGCCGTCCTGGTTTTCCAGCCAGCCACGCTGCCTTTTAGCAGCAGGCCGGTGCCAGGAGCAATTCCCAGTTGACAGATGAATTTTTTTTTATTTTTTTTTTTTACTGAATTTAACTGCAGTGTTTCTTTTCTAAGGCATGTGTTCCCCATCTGCATCAGCTTGGGATCGGTTGAGTTCATCTCCTCCAGCTGTGGCAACATATTTTCCAGTGAGAGAATGGAACAGAGTCAACTAAATCCTTGTAAAAGGAACGAAGAACAACCCTGCTGTCCAAAGGTACCGCTCTGGATTTTCTTTAGCTGTTGTTCTGTGATGTGGGACTGTGTTGTTTGCTTTGGGGCTGTGCCCTTTAGGACACAGTATTAAGGTTTAAACAAGCCTTAGGCTTTGTGATACTATTTAGTGTCGTGAAACAAGCAAAGCCAGTTTGTCCCCTGTCAGGACACTGCTTTACCCTTCAAACCCTCCTTGGTGAGTTTTACCGTTACTTTTCAGCCAGTGCCTGCAAATCACTGCCACTAGGCAGCAGCAGCAATGGGGATCCCTAGCTGAGGTAATGTTAACTGCCTTGCACACACAGCTCTGTTTTTGTCTTTCCACATTATGTCATCTTAAAATGCTAAAATTTGAGTTCTGTGGAGGAAGGCGGTGTAGTTGTAATAGCAAGGCTTGATTCTCACTCTTGGAGGTAGCAGAAATGCCACAAAATTACCTTTCCCCAGGCCACGCTGGTGCCCCCTCCCCATGGGGAGCATTCAAGGTCTAGGGCTGAACCTGGAGGCAGGAGCCAATCATGAGCTAACGGGGCCTGCAAGATGGCAGTGGTTTGACTTATGATCTTACAATTACTTGCAGAAGTACAGAGAACATGTGTCTTTTAATTTACCCAGTCCCTGGAATAATTTCCACATTCCTTCTGGGGTGGAAACACCACGCTCAGTACACGCTGCAGCTCCTCCTCTTCTGGCTTGACAAGCCTGGACTGTAATTTGGGAGAACAATAAGCAGGGAGGTGGGGGCTTCCTTTCTAGGGGAAGCGCCTGTGCACTAAGCAGGCCTGCCAGCTTTTAGAAATCAAGTACTGCTCTGTTGTTTTGGGTTTATTTCAATAGAAAAAAACCTCAACAACCCAAGGAGCAGAGTTAGCAACTGACAGATGTAACACCCAGCCAACAAGTTTAGTGTGAGGAGCTGGTGATGTGCCTGAGCTGTGGCTACTCCAGGCCCACCTTCCCTCTCCTTCCATTCCCCAGTGGAGGTCTGTCTGCCTTTTTTTTTTTTTTTTTTTTTAAAAAGATGTGAAAATCATGTTCCTGTGTTTAGTTAAAGCTCACGCCGTGTTCTGTCCGGACCATTGCTTAAAAAGGGGAAAATATGCAAACTGCTGCTATCACTGGATGGACTCCCAGGGAGCTGAGGTTTTAGCTGCATTTTTATGCTCATCCCTGAATGGGGCAGAACAGCGTGAGGAGCTGAAGCAGAGCCTGAGGCTGCAGCACTGCCCCTCTCCTGCTTCTGAGGGCAGATGCAATGGCAGTTTTCAGAAGTAGCACTACAGGTCAGCAAAGTGGGCTCTATTCTCACCTTTGCTTAAAGAAAAGAAAAAAGGGGCCCTTTTTTCAAGTTTAGTTTAGAAAGAACCAAGAATAACGAAACAGCTCTTTCCCCAAGTATTGCTGAGAGTTGGTAAAAGATGGCTCTTTCCCCAAGTATTGCTAAGAGTTGGTAAAAGATGGCTCTTTTCCCAAGTTTGCTAAAAGTTAGTAAAACAAGGTCTTTTTCTTCAGGTTCGATAACAGTTAGTAAAAGACAGTTCTTTCTCCAAGTTTGCCAAGAGGTAGAGGGGTCTTTCTCAAAGTTTGCTAAAAGTTAACCAAAAAAAGGGGTCTCCCCATGTTTGCTAAGAATTAGCAAAAAAAACCCAAAAAAACAACAGCTTTCTTCCCAAGTTTGCCAAGAGTTAGCAAAAAAGGACAGCTCTTTCCCCAGGTTTGCTAGGAGTTAGCAAAGCAGGCTTTTCCTCCCAAGTTTGCCAAAAGTGGGCGTTTCTCCTGAATTAGCTAAGAATCAGAGGGCTCTCTCCCCAAGTTTACTGAAAGTTAGCAGAAGAGTGCTCTTTCCTGAAGTTTGCCCAGATTAAAAGGAGGTTCTTCCCCCAAGTTTGCTAAGTTAGCAACACGACATCTCTTTTCCACAAGTTTGCTGAGAGTTAGTAAATAAAGTCAGCTCTTCCACAAGTTTGCTAAGAGTTAGTAAATAAAGTCAGCTCTTCCACAAGTTTGCTAAGAATAAAAAGTGGGGTTTTTTCCTCCCCCCAACCCCGGGTTTGCTGGGAGTTAGCAGAAGGGGGCTCGGTGGGGCCGGGCGATGCGGGGAGGGGGGTGTTGGTGGCGGGGACCCCTCTCACCTGGAAGATGAGCACCTTGAAGCGGTCCCGCCGGAGGAGCTGTGCGAAATGCTGCTCCAGCCGCCGCACCTGGTCGTCCTGCTTCCCCACCCGGTCCCGCATGGCGCGGGTGTGGGCGCACACCTTCCGCGACTTCTCCAGCAGCTTCTCCACCGCTTCCCCCGTCGCCCCGTGGCTGCGGCACAACTTCTTCAGGTCCTCCTGGATACTCAGCACCGCCCTTTCCAAAGCCCGCTGCCTCTGCTCCATCTGCCGCTGCTGCCTTTCCACCGTTTCCAACATCGACATCAGTTTCTCCAGTAAAGCCAGGACGGTCAGGGCGTTCACCTGCCCCCCGACTGCCTCCGACGGCGGGAGCGGGGGGACCGCGCTGCCTCCCGCCGCCTCCCCCATCGCGGCGCCGGGACGGGACTCTGGATGCCGGTGCCTCTATTAAGGGCTGAGCCTTCCTCCTCCCCCGGG